CAAAAAATGTCCAAATTTTGTTAGAAACTCAGGTACATGTACATGTACCACATGTAATGCATGTACATGTAGCATGTGAAATATAGAATACATAATGTACATGCATAAAATGACATACCAGGTTGTCCTATTAGTAATATTCTTGGTCTAAAGACAGAGGGTAAGGAGTGAGGGTGTGAACTGAAGTCTAAACAGGCCCCACCCCCTGGACTGGTAGAGGTCACGTTACCATCAGGTGCCTCGTCCTCCGTGATACATGTATTGTGGGCGGGGTCAGAATGGGAGTGGTCTGGCTGTGCTATATCATCCAGATCAAAGAACACGTTACTGATTTGATCATTGAGCTGAGACTTTTGAAAAGAAAACGAATCAGTGATATACTTTGACCTAAAATATTGTGAAACCAAAAATAAAAACATCAAAACAAAAAATAACAACTACACGTACATGTACAACAACAAAACAATACATGTACATATATCTCAATTTTTATTACATGCATATTGTATAGCACACGACAGGTACAAGTTGACAAATGTACATGTAGCTTATGCATACTAAGATAAACTATACATGCACTATACACAAACTATGTAAACTATGTTAGAAGGTAAAACATTAAGGAGCTCAGCCCATGAGCCACACTATTGCTGTGCTGTATGACCTTATCTTGCTGCCCGTTTGCAGTTTGCTTCAATAAAGATAAGGCTATTTAACCCTATGCTCGTACAGACAAACAGACTTTTCTTATCTTAGTGGGCTTCGCCCAACAAGTACAATGTATTAGTTATGCTAGTGTACAGTGCATGTATGACTAGTGCACTATCTAGTGAATATGTCATTAGTGTATAGTGTATCATGTACTAATATACATGTACATGTACAGAGATGCTCACACTTTATTCTAGTTTGTTTGTCAACTTATGCCTGTCTGGTGCTGTACATGTACACGTGTGTACATGCATGCATGTTAGTGTAAAGATTACTTCACATTAATTCTTTAATTACACATGTACATGTGTATGAATACATGCCAATTTCAATGGAAACATGTGCAGAAACAGTGGTATACATGAACATGCATGTACAGTACACATACAATGTACACACATATACATGTACATTTTAAATTTTTCATTTTTAAAATTACACATGCACATGTACATGTATGAATACATACCCATGTGCGGAAACAGTGGTATACATGTACATGTACATGCATGTACACATACTGTACATATACACGAACAATGTACATGCAAAATACGTACTACATGTACATGTACTGTACATGCATGTACACGTACATGTAACTTACATATCAATTTCTTCTATTCCACTGCCCATCAACATTGATCCATCCTCTCCAGCAGTGGCTATGGTCCTCTCCCTCTCCTTCAGCCTCTCCCTCTCTCTCTTGAGCTTTGGAAGAGTCTTCCCAATCCCTTTCCAAGATGGCGGGAACACGTACAATAAAACATTCAAGACCTCCTCAAACTGACGGCAAAGAAGAGGAAGAACAATATCGGATAAAGGAGCAGCAGGGGAAGCTGTTGATCGCTGAGCAGTAGGGACTATAGACCTGAGGGCTGAAGAGAAGTTGCTAGCGGAGAGTTTAATAGTTGAAGTGTCAATGAGGAGTTTTTCCGAGCTGTTGTATATCTGAGGATAGTGTGAGCGGAGGGAATGGAGTGCTGCTTCAGTGCAGAGTGACTTGAGGTCAGCCCCACAGTAGCCCACAGTCTGGTCTGCTAGCTCTTGTAGGAATGATAGCTTCAATGGAGGGGACCAGTGATGGGTGTGTATCTGCAATATACTCAGACGATCCTGGAAGAGAAGCATTAGTATCTTAATTGTTACGACAAATACAAATAAATGTAATTGCTTCTTTTTATTTGTGAATGTAAAATGTACATTGTACATGCACATGTACATACACCATGGCATACCAGCTTAATAATTCTATTTCACTATTATACATGTAAATACAATGTACATGTATATGTACATGTACAAGTATAACCAATGTAATATGTACATGCATGTACATGTACGTGTATGTGCATTAATTTTAGCAAAATCACTAAAGCCATGTACATTGTACATTGTACATATAATTATATGAATAATACATGTACTGTACATGCTTTTTGGGGTGCATGCATACATTACATGTATTTTTGAAAGATCAATAAAAAATATAGTATGGTAGTGTTCAGCTCACTTCTCTTGATGGTAGTGGGAACCTGAACTCTCTGTCAAATCGTCCTGGTCTCCTCAGTGCTGGGTCTATAGCATCAATCCGATTGGTCGCTCCAATAACAACTATCTCCCCACGACTGTCCAGCCCGTCCATCAGAGCAAGGAGAGTGGAGACAATGGAGGAGTGGATCTGGTCTTGTCTTGTGGATCGAACTGGAGCCAATCCATCAATTTCATCAAAGAATATGATTGATGGACGCATTTGATAAGCCTATAACACATACAACGTATAATAATAATAACAGTAATGATAAATTGTGTAATATACATGTATGCAGTATGTACATGTACATGTACATGTATACATACATGCATATGTACAAATGTATAATTCTAGTATAAACATGTACAAGTCCATGGACTGTTAACTGCGTGTTCTACTTGTTAATTAGCTCTATTACACATACATGTACATGTACATGTACTTGT